ATTCTACCTACTGAGGCAATCCATTATATTCTTAGAAAATTCTTCATAATATTGCATCTATTTCTGTCTCTCTGTAGCTTCCTATACAAAATGGCATTGGGAGTCAGATCGACTTTCGAATCTCTGGACACTTACTGGCTCAGTGACCTCAGGCAAGTTACTTAAACTTTCTGAGCTTGTTTCACTATTTAAAAAAAGAAAAAGAAGAAAACAACAATATCCTTATCATATAAGATCACAATAAATAAATGAAACAAAAAATAAAAATGCCTACCACTGTTATAGTTACTGAACAAAGTTTCAATATTAGTTGGCACCCCTACCCTTAACTGTATTTCTCTCTTCTACATGATAACCTTCAATTACTTATAATGATTTCTCAAATCACACCTTTAAGTTCACCCTTCAGGTTAAATATCCTTCCTGGACTCTTCTACCATTCCTCTTATGATGGGATTTTTAAGTGCCCTCTCCATTCTGATCATTTTTCTCTGGATTCATTAGAATTTGTAATGTAGTATCAAGAAAGATATATAGCATCTCCAGATATTTAAGATTATCCCTTCTTTGACTTTGGAGATTCCATATAGACCAAGAACAAACTACTTTTAAGGGGCAACTACAAATATTTTTTTAACTCACACTATACTTAGAGTTTAACTACATTTTTTTTTTACTGAATTAAACTAAACAATCTCATCTCTTTCTTGGTCTTTGTCTTTAAGAGAAACAATACAGCAGACCTAAACATGGGAACTGCTTTAATTTTCCTATCCAAAGTTTTTAAGGTATATTTGATCAACTAACAGAGCAAAGATTAAAAAGAACAGCCATATGATTCAAATAACTTTTTTTTAAATAATCTTTTTTTCTCATGTACTATAAATCCTTTGATTTTGCCTACCCCAGAACCCATTCTCACTTCTTCTGGATAAACACAACAAAAAAAGAAAAGGAAAAAACCTCTTCAACTCCGTATTATTATACTGGCATTCTCAGTCACACATCCATGTCTCCCTGACTTCAGAGATGTCAGTGATTAGTTGGGGGAATGAACTGAGACGTTGATTACAGAAGATAAATGGGCGCTGGGGAATAGAAAATGTCCTCTTTATTTGCTGGTTTTAAGATAGAGCTGAAACATGGAAAGAGACAGAATCAAGTCCCTATGACATGATCTAAATCCTTGGGTCCAGCCATGCCTTTTAGTGTTGCTTAAATTCATCGGAGTTGTTGCTGTGACTGCAATTACAAGTTTTGAAAGTTATATTCAATTTATGGAGAAAAGAAACACTAAATGATGTAGACTCACTGATTTTTAGATACAGATTTTTTTTTCTTACTATTATATCACTGAAAACCAACAGCACCTGGCACATGAGGTAGGAGCTCAAGAATTATTTTTTTAATGAGTTAAAGAGATCACAGTGATCATCTATTCTAACCATCTCACAAGATAACGGCAAATTGAGTTCCAAAGCATGTTGATAGCACAGCCAAGGCACCTGCTTTGCCTGGGCTTATGGCTCTATTAACAGCTCTTTTTGCTTATTTCTCACACGGAAAAATAAAACTGGAAGATAGTAATACACCTATTGCTTTTCATTTCCTTCTCAAAACCAGGCCTGAAAATCCTCACTTACTGTAGTAGCTTAGCTAAAGGCGATTTTTACTGCTATAGAAGCCTCAAGGATCTGGCACTTACCTCCAGGGCACACACGCTTGAAATGCTTTATTCCCCAGAGTATAGTTACTATGTTCCCTGTCACGGTCTCTCAACTTCTCCTGTGGGAGACAAGCTGACAAAGTGACCTCTTCCCAACTCCCATATTCATCCAAAAAGCTGTCATAATAGTCCTATCATCACTGTAATTTTAGATCATTAAAGTATGATAGTGTGTCTTAAATTCAAACTAGAGTCTCTATATAATATTTCTTTAGTTGGAAATCCTAGGAGCTACATTTTTATCTTGGCATTTTGCCATCTTAAAAGTCTATAATAAATATTGAGACAAATTTTCACCTCATCAGCAAACAAACCACTTTAATAATCTTTAATTTCTGTTTACTCACTAGCAGAATAGAGTAAAAGAAAACTCTTGGAAGTCTCCAAAATAAATTAGTACTCCAAAAATTTTTATTGATACCAGCCTTTGTAAAAACACATCTTTTCTAGGTAACCTCCCAATTCAATTCCTCAATTAGTTTTGCAAAGTGAATCTCCAATATTTGCAAGTCAAACTGCTTCCTTAAAAGTAAGTGGATGCAGAAATTTACAATTAATATATAATCTTCAGGGTCATGGCTGGTAAACTTAAGAACACCATTTATTCTGTAAGAATAAAGTAACTCTATAACACATAGCACAAACCTCTATAATCAAGCTTTGTTCAACAATGTGTCCCAATGAATCTAAACCACTTGGGGAATTTTTGCTCTTCAAAATAAGTACTGTAAGACACAAATTCGAAGAATGTCTTATTTCTCATGTCTAAATTATTTAACGCATTTCTCTTTGTACCTTAAAACGGCATCATCTTCACAATGACCAATTAATCTTTAAATTAGGAGCATTTGTAGAAACACTGTTATTCTTAATATGTACTTGCTTTCCTCTTTGTATCTAGTTAATATATTATTAAGCACTCATGAAAATAATTATGAAAAGCCAAACAATGTAAATCTTTGAAGTCTCACTTTGCACTTTATTAACTTCCAACTAGATTTGAAAAGACTGCCCATCACTGTAACCTAATCCGCATTTCACTTTTAAGAGTTTGATCACAAAGGTATTTCTTCTCAGGCTGGGCTGAAGGGCCACTAGGGTTAAGCCAAAAACCCTTTTCAGTTAGAAGAATTACCATATTTGTAGATGATGATGCACTAGACAGTAAAGTTCAATCCAACAAATTCCTATCCTAATAGAGTTTTATTATGTACAGGTTTCCATAGTTGCAATGATTTCAAAAGAGGACCAAAAATACATGAAGAAAAATGTTTAAAAAACAGGAAAAACAGGCATTCATCAGATTTCACAGTGCAATATGGGTTCCACTGTTAAATAAAAGTAATCCACCCTCACTTAAGAAACCTTAACAGGAGCAAGATAAAACAAAAATTTGAATTTATAACTCAATCCACATACATTAGTTCCTGCCTGGGTAATTTAAAAGCTGCATTATATTAATCACTTAACCACAGCTTCAAGTATGGAAGGCATGTAGTTCAACTTCCACATTTTACAGACTAAGAGAATTCAGCATAGTTAACTGACTTTCCTAAGGTCATATAAATTGGATGCTAGCTAAGACTTCTCACTCTCCCCAAGTCCTGCCTGGTGCCATTTCCATTGCCCAATAACAATCACTCTGGATACATTACTTACATATTATTTTCTTTCCAACATTCCACACTACCGGCCTAATGTTTAATGTTTTTTTATTTTTATAAACTGATTGTCTCATTTCATGATGCTGCACAAAAACTCAAGCAAGACTTTTGGCAAAAGAAATACACTGATCTAATGCATCTAAATATCACTTATGATATTACCATTTCCAAAATCCACAATGGAGATGGTTTTGAACATTTTCTTTAAAAGAAGAAATGTAATGTCTTTATTCACCCTTCCAAGTTACATTTTGAATATCTCAAATAGCTAGGCACAAAAATCAAATGTAATATCTAGTCATAAGACATTTTACGCAGAGGAAGGAGTTCCTTTTTTAAATGTGTTACAACATTTATCTGCCACATTATCGTATCTGTAAACTCTAAAAGAAGTTTTACTACTGAGCAGAATTCTTACATACAAATTCAAACAACAGCTGAAAGACTTCTAATTTGCCTCTTACCAAAGGTGAAAACCACATTAATAACATAATATTTATGTGCAAGTTCATAAATTTCCGATAAAGTTTGCATTAAAAAAAACAAATTAAAAAAGGGAAAAGCGCAAAAACAAGGAAAAGAACAAAGTTAAAAAAAACAAGAACAATGAAAAATGAAATCACAATTAAAATGTGTTAAATGTTTAAAAAACACCTACGACGTCATTAATACAGCTTAATGCACCAAAAAAGGGCAAAAATATTTGCTTTGCTTCTTTCCTTAAAGTCTCCATCCAGCTGAAGCTGAGTTACTGTTTGCTGCAGATAAAACGATTTTCACATTCCTCCTACCTCCACCTAACACTTTTGATAAGAGAAACAAGAATCTAGTGTTTAATGCTGTCCCGGGTTCAGTTCCTCCTCTAGTGGGGCCAATCTTGGGGGGAAAAAAACTGTCAATGAAAAACTGAGGTGATTTTAAGATTTGTTTCATTTGAAAGTTACGACGTCCTACACTTACCAATACATTTGTTTTTAAACCGAAGCTAAAACCTGTATTAAGTAATAATCATAAGACTGGGTAGCAAAAGCATGCACGCGACACCTGCCAAGAGTAAACATTTTCAAGGTAAACCTTCAGAGGAACCAGGGAGTGAGCGCCAGAGTGTAATCAACTAATTTGGTTGCGACTCTCCACCGGACCTAGGCGAGGCGTCCGCGGCGCTACAGACGCAAGCAGCCTGTGACGGTGACCAGCGCGAGGATGCTAGGGGGAGAAGGGCTGGAAGGAGCGAGTGGGTCGACCAGAAGTCAGCCGGCTGCGGCAAGAGTTAAATTAACAAAGACCTCAGCGCGCACCAAAGCTCCACGGCTCCGAAGCAACGCCTCCCCGCCGCCCCCCCCTTCCCGCGACCCTCTCCAAGTTCAGGGCGGGCAGCCGACTCGCGCCGGGGCCTGCGGCCGGGCCAGGGCCTGATTCGCGAGCGGGATGCGGAAAACAGGTTGGGCAAATAAGAGCCCTAAAGAGAAGAGCCGGAGCTTCCCGACACGGTCAGCGCAGCAGTAAAGGGAATCGAGGCGGGAGGGAGGCCCGGAGCCGAGTCCCCGCCACCGGGCCCTGCTTCCCGGGGAGCTGCCAGGAACAGTGGACAGAACGCCGCGCTTTGTTACCGGCTGAGAGAAGCTCCGGCCGCCGCCGCCGCCGCCATCGCCCCCGCCCCGGGGCGTCGCTTCCCGGCGGTTCTCTCCTTCCTCGGCTGAGTAGTCGATCTCCCCCTCCTCGGTCTTGAGGCGCTTGGCCTGGCTCTCGTACTCCCGATCCTCCTCGTACGTCTCCCTGGGGGAGGATGAAGAGGAGGACATGGCGGCGGCCGGAGGGACAGACGGGCAGGCGAGTGGGGGGTGGTTGCGTGGTGCGGGCCTCGGACCGCCGGGCTGTCCCCACCGCGGGCAGCGCGTCCTCAGCGAGGTCTGCGCGGCCGGGCGGTCCTCCGGTGCGGCGCGCTCAGGAGCCGGGTGCGTACGGAGAGCGTCCGGGGAGGAGGCTCCCGAGCGGCCGCTCCCTGGTACTAAGGAGCCAACATTCAGCCTCTCCCCGCTCCTCCGCCTCCGCTCCAAGCCCGGGGGAGCGAATCTTATGGATGGGACGCGACCGTGGCTTCCGGTCTTCCCTCCTCCCCAGATCCGCTGCCCGCCGCCGAGGCCGAGCCTCCGCCCCCGCCTGCGCTGTGGCCGCTCAGGATCGAATCCAGCCGCAGCCCTCGGGAAGCGCCCCCCCACCCCTACCTGAGTCTCGCTCCCTATTGGCAGGGGGGAAAGTCGACCGGGCTTCCAATTGGCTATAAGGGCCGTTGGTCAAAAGCCCCCAGCCGGCCTCGCCTTTCTCCAGCACCTTTTGAACTCCACCCAGGCCTAAGACTCTGGGCTGCGCAACGCTCGCCGCGCGCCTCCAGGCAGCGGTTGCGTCCCCGTGACGGTTAACGCTGTTAGGCTAACCTGAGGCCTCCGGGTGGTGAGCCGGGAGGGCAGGCCAGGAGGCGTGCGGAGGTGTTAGAACTGCGGCTGTTAACCGCCCAAATTTAAATGCTTTTATTTGTCATGAAAAAGAAGGGGAAAAAATCTCTAGAATGCCTGCAGATGTGCCTCACACAGCCTAATACTACAGGGAGAGAGGGAAGAAAAGAGTCTGTGACCACTCAAGTAGCCTTCTCCCTATACAATGTGCAAAATCTGGTAGAAGTGGTGGACTCCCTGCCCCTAACTAGATATTGGAGAACTGCACCCAACACTGTCTAAATGCAGCAAGTGCAAGTCTGCAGAAGACGCTCCACACGGGCGAAAGTCAGTTTGATCAGCTAGCACTCGTTGTCACCTGGACCTTTCTTCTTTCCTGACAATTACAGGGGACTTCCCTGCTCCAATTAAATGACTTTTAAACCTCCCATGTAAAATTTCATCATTCCAACCCTTTCCTTTATGGATGATCTATTTCATATTATTTATTTTTGAAAGACACGAAAGCCTATCACAATTGTCTTTGTCATTTGGACAACTCCTCTCCTCTGTGGAGCCTGGAGGACTCTTCCAAGCTTCTAGTTGCTGCTTTCTCATTTTGCAACCGGGGCCTTTATACTTACCTCCTAAGATGTTCTTTTTCAAAGACTTGAAGGTGCTTGAAGATAGCAACTGTGCTCTTTTCATTGTTTCAAACCTAGTTCCTGTACAATCCCCACACAAGTTAGGGCTCAGCAATGCCCAATGAGTGGCCTTGGGAAATAAAGATACAGTATATCTTCCAGAGGAGTCACTGGCGAATCTAATGCAACTCTGTGACTTACTCCTTGGAGGATTGCAGAGGATCCATACCCAGCAATTTCACTTCTGGGTATCTATCCAAAGAAAATAAAAACGCTGTTTTGAAAAGTACATGCATCGCTATGTTCATTGCAGCATTACTTGCAATAGCCAAGATATGAAAGCAATCTAAGTGACTCTTGATAGATGAATGGATAAAGAAGTTTTGGTATATGCATATATACAATGGAATATTACCAAATAGTGAAAAAGAATGGAGTCTTGACATTTGTGACAACATGGATGGATTTAGAGAGTATTATGCTAGGTGAAATCTGACAGAACAAATACCATATGATTTTACTTATATGTGGAACCTTTTTTAAAATATATATTTTATTGATTGTACTATTACAGTTGTCCCATTTCTTTCTCTACTTTATTCCCCTCTGCCCTGTATCCCCCCTCCCACCATCATTCCTCCACCTCAGTTCACGTCCATGGGTCATACATACAAGTTCTTTGGCTTCTCCATTTCCCATACTATTCTTAACTTCCCCTTGTCTATTTTGTACCTACTATTTATGATTCTTATTCCCTGTACCTTTTCCACCATTCTCCCCCTCCCCCTCCTCTCCCCACTGATAATCCTCCATGTGATCTACATTTCTGTGAGTCTGTTCCTGTATAAATGCTGCTGAAGCAAGCACTATATGTGGAATCTTAAAAGGAAGGAAGGAAGGAAGGAAGAAAGAGAAACAGATTCTTAGATACATAAAACAAACTTATGGTTACTGGAGGAGGAGGTGGGGAATAGGGCAAGAAAGGTGAAAGGGAATAAGTACAAATTTCCAGTTATAAATAAGTCATGGTGTGATGTTCAGCATAGGGAATATAGTTAATAATAATGTGATAACTTTGCATGGTATCATGTGGTTATTAGACTTATTGTGGTGATCACTTCATTAGGTATATAAATATTGAATAACTTGTATATCTGGAACTAATACATTGTATGTTAACTGTATTTTATTAAAAATAATGTCACTTAAGTGTTTCCATTGTCCTTGCCCCTCAAATGTTTTTCTACTTGTGTCTCTTTCCTAGGTGTGGATTGTTTCCTTTCCTAGCCTAGTTCTCTCTCCTTTCCAAAACATTTTTAAACATTTTTATTTTTTGTTGGCAGTGCTTTAATATGGTGTTTTGCACTTTGCAATTTACACTGACTGTCATTTTGGAGTTGAACTGCAAGCTTTTTCACAACACCATACAGCTATAATCAGATTTGTGTGTGGCTGCAAGTAATCACTAAACAAAATAGAACTAAAAACAAAATGAGAAATGTATTTTGTAAACAAAGATAGAGTGGAAGTGGATAGAAGAAATATGAAAGAGGGAGCTACAGAGCTGGTTGCAGACAAGGAGATGTCAATGGCAGAGCACTGGGAAGGAGAGGAAGCCTTATATAAACTTTCCAAACATTTCACGTGATGATGAAAATATTTTAAATTTTCATAAGCCTTCATGCAACCTGTGGGTTCTACCAGATTAAAATACAATTCTCACAGCAATCTATTAGGAAATCCACGCTTTCTGAGCCTTGCGCTATACTCAGTGCCTTACTTCATGAATTGTAGGTAGAAGTCAGTATGTACCTGCATTAAACTTAATTTTGTTTGGTCTAGCTCAAATAAAATTATTAGGTTAAAAAACCTGAAGAAGTAAAAATTAACATGTTTAAAGGACATAGGTCAGCACATTGACCTTGGGTGACCTCTGAGCCTTTGGCAGATGAGTTGTTCACACTGTGACAGCAGGTTCTTTGATAAGGAAAATGCTGTTTAGCCTATCACCTTACCATGAGAAGAGGAAACGAAGGAGGGTATAAATTATATTCTGCATAATTTAATTTAGATGAGAAAAAGAAATTATACATTGTCCAGTAGCCAGAAATGCCTAACAAACTCAGAAACAACTCAATGACAGCTGAAATCTTTTGCACTGCTAGGTACAGCTGTAGGCCAAAGGGCAGATGGTCTGAATGCTTAGTCAGATTAGCTGCTGTTGACTGGGGCGGGAAGCAGCAATGAATTCTCTGTGCCACAGTTGAAAGAAGATTACCCTAGAGTGGGAAACAGATCCAGAGCAAGCCTAGGGAACTGAGAGCCATGGTCCTCTATAATCTAGCCCCAAATTGCTGACTATGTAATTTATAAGACATTGTACTAAGTGAGGAAGGGACTAGAAAACTATATAAGCTGTTCCCTGCCTTCTCAAAGCCTGCGATCAAGTTGAGGAAATAAGATACATACCCAAAGGTAGGCTGCAAGGCACGTGTATTATATACATGTGATAATAATAACAACCCTTTACATTGTGCCAGGCACTGTGCTAACTGCTACAATAGTCATGTCAATGAATTCTGTCGGAAGCCCCCTAACGGAGGCATTATTACTATGCCTATTGTACAAGTAAAGAAACCGTGTAGGGGAGATTAAGAGACCCGCCCTGGAAGACACAGTTAGTGATCTAGGGAGCCGGGATCGGAACCCAAGCAAACTAATTTCAGAGCCAATACTCTTCATCAAGAAGAAGGATGATTTAATTATTTACCGCCATGAACATATAGATCTAATTTATAGTCACTTATCCTGATACTAATTCATTCACTAATTTCCACCAGGGCATATGTACAACTGTAATTATGGGAACGGGTGAATGAATTGTAATTTTCATCATTTTTATTAATGTAAGGGAATTCAATTAGCTTCCATAGGAAATTGCAAATATAACACACAGTTTCAATGTTTGTTTTAAAATGTAATTCCTATAGAAAAGCTTCAAATTATCATCATTTTTTGGTGGATACATCATTTGAACAACTAGAGATGCAAACTAGGAGCTTTTCATACCAAAACTCAATTTCCAATATTGCTGCTATTTCATTGAAAACACAAAAGTTTTGTTTCCTGCCTTGACTCCTAAAAAAAAAAAGTCAAAACCTTCACACACACCTTATCTGTGAGCCACATTTCCAAAGAGTTGCCACCACAGAGGTGTATTTAATTAAGACATATTTAACATGAATCCAACACAGAACAAAGTCCATTCAGAGACAAATCCATTAGTTCCTATCAAGCTTTGTCAAATTCAGAGTACATTCTATGTGATGATATCATTTTCCTTGTTTGGCAGAGATTACCAAGAAAGTGGCACCATGGCACTGGTGTGCAAACTTTTCATTCTATCCACATTTGGTTACTTAAGGTGGGTGCCACCATCCCAAAAGCCTGCACCCTACAGGAAGTGCCTCGGGCACTGTTAGCTCACTGTGTAGTCAAGTGTAACCAGAGGTATTCTCAAATGCTATCCTCATGCACATCTGGTTCGGGGCGAGAGCTACCACCTTGTTTAGGCTCTTTAGAAATATAATAATTTGTGATAAATCTGCAAAAATAAAACAGGATGACCTTGGAAGGTCTAGCTCATATATTAGATGATGATGGGTAAAATTCAGATTCTTGTTATCAGTTATAGCCAGTTAGCCTTAGAAATAATATTTAAATTAATTTACTTTTCTCTCTGACTTGTGAATTGACAGTGCTTTAGAGGTCTTTAAAAGTAATTTTAATTAAAAAAGTAAATTCATAACATTCTGTCCCCAGTTGAGAATAAATAGAATTTATCAAAGTAAATCATCTTGCATGTGACAATATATAGATGGGATTAACAAGTAGTTGCTCACGCTTACTTATTAAGATAGAATGTGAAATAATGGGAGTGATCTGTAACTCTTAATAACTTTGTTGCTAAGTATGAGGTATCAATTCTTTCTGTCTTTTTTGAATTTGAGCAAAATCAAAATATCTTGCAAGTGGCCCACCTCACCCCAAGAAGTAAGCTGTAGTTCAGAAACACATTGCCCTGCCCAGGTAGCTCAGTGGCTGAGAGTGCCATCCCAGC